CACCCACCAACACCCACACACACACACACACACATTCCTCAGTCCTGACACTCCTGGTGGATAGAGATCATGTGAGTGAGAGAGAAGTCTCTCTTTCCCCTGCACGAGTTCTCTGTGTGGTCCTGCAGCAAGGCCACAGGGCTCATTCTTCTTGTTGTAGACAAGTACCTAGGTAAGACTAGTTTGACTTATCTGTGCATGAGGCCCTGATTGGCTCCAGTCCTGTTCTTGTCTGTGCATGAGGCCCTGATTCGCTCCAGTCCTGTTCCCGGTCAACTCTTCAACCCCCATATTGAGTCGAGCTTCCCTTTGAATCCTTTTCCCACTTTGCAGATAGAACTATCTATACCCAGGATGGTTCAACGTTCAAACCATGGACAGCATTCCTGGCCACTATCGTTATTTTGGTCTCCATTCCACCTCAAGGGCTTGGATTGGCTGGAGCTTGGAAAGCCTTCCTGGTGTAACCACGAACACAAATGCCCGTGGTTTGAACCATTCTGTGTCTCCAACTCAAAGTGAAGGACTTGGGGCTTGGGAACAAAAGAGCGCTCTTGCGCCTTTGTCCTTCCAAACTTAGGGGGCGATTTGGTTATTATTTGATTTGGAAGTCTTTAGTTTAATTTAAATGATGTGGGTGTGCGACAAAAGACGAGGGGTTTTGACTTTAACACATTGAAGTTTAAAATGCAGGGCCTGTATACATACAGGCTTGGGATCGTCATGTTTCGCCGGAAGGATCACATGTTCTCTCTTAAAGCAACAGTACACCCGGGCCTGGAGGCGCTGCACTGCGCGCCAAGCTTTTCCGAGCCGCCGGCAGCGCACTTTTTCTTCCTTTCTGGCTGGCGCCGCCACCCATTGTGGCCTGGTAGGCCCGAGCCGCGGAATTTTCAGACTAGGCGACGAACAAACTTCTGCAAGGCTGGGGCCGTGTACTGACGGTTTACGTCTGAAGGGAAGACTCCACAGGTGCTACGGTCAGGCTAAGGAAGCAGGCACCCGGTCATAAAGATGGCAATTATTCATGCTCACCTAGGACAAACATATCATCTGTGAGGCTTGGCCTTCAGATATAGGATGCGTGCTACGATCCGTGAGGTGTGTACACACGGCTTGGGGCACACGATTCTTCCTCGTTCTGACACCTTCAAGTATTCAATACCCACTGGCTTTCACAACTTCACATCAACGTAAATCGAGGGTGTTTCAGCATGGAGATTTGAAGTTCGGCTTTCACTTCTCAGGTCCCTATTTCAGTTTACATATTGGTATACAAGTGGGAACACCTCCATCCTCTTCCTTTCCTTTTCTTCCCTTCCTTATATTCACAAATTTCACATCCACCCCTCCCTAAAATCCCCTTTTCATTTCCAAGCAGCCATTGCCACTTTACCGATATGTTACCTCCCCCTCAAAACCTCCCATCAGGAAAGTAACGTGCCGGGTAGTCTCCGGCAGAGTCTTTCTCTTTCTCAATAACAAAAAGTGACCTTCTATCATCCACTGCCATTCTCCCTTGCTCTCCCTGAAGACAGCATTTTGTTAAGTGTGCTGCAGCTTCTGCGCCTTTGTTGCATGTGTCACTTACTCGTTGACCAAATCAGCGATTTGCTTTTACTTGGATTGTTGTCCGATTGTCTGCCGCCGAGTTTTTCTTCACTTCGCAGAATCCAGAAGAGCTTGGTCTTGGTGCACTACTTACCCTGTTCCACTCGCCACAGATCCTCGTTCGGTCGAAGAGCGCAACACCACTATTCATTGTGTTGTTTTGTACATAGCTTGACGAGCCAACGAAGAAAAGAACGTCATCAACTGAACTACGAATGCTTTTCCCATTTGCTATCGAACACCAGCGCTTCAGCCGACCATTCGCAGACAGCCACTATTTGCACTTGAAACCACCAGTGTGTGCGAGCCTCACTAGAAAACAACGCAGTCGAGGTTTTACTTCTAGGTTCTCACAGAATAACCACGCTGTAATTGCACGGATGCACCGTGAAAAAGACCCCCTACCTCACTCACACTGATCAGTCAAAGCTGCTGCCAATGAGTGAGGTGGCTTGCAGAAAGAGAGGGTAGAGCGGAGAGAATCGAAAACATGGTATTTGTGGGTTTTTAACTTCGATACTAATCGATAGCAGTTCGGCAAGACCCACACTGGGGGCTTTTCCTGGATGGTATCCGACTGTATTTCCATCCAGATTCGGTCCACGAAGTCTACTTCGAGTATACAGACCTGAGTTCAAATCCCAATGACGTTAGATGAGTAAGTAATAACTCTGAATTTACTAATTTAGTAAATTTACCTGGGGCTGGTCAATTTGAAGATAATATCTCAATGCCATCGTCCTTTCGGGAAAAAAAAAAAAAAAAAAAAAAAAAAAACGATTTTCACACCTCTGAATGGAACTTTGAATAGCATTGTTGTACGTCTGAATTCCATTCAATTCGAGAAAAAAAAAAAAAAAAAAAAAAAAACAGGAAGATCGACAGCCTTGAGATATATCGTCGTACTGAACAGCTCCAGGCAATTCAAAAGTAACTAGTTTTATTCATCTAGTTCCACCGTCTGGGTTCGAACTTGGGTCTGTATTTCAAAAACAGTTCATGGGTGTCCCAACTGAGCTACGTCAGCCCAAGACTTGTACTTCTTTTTCCTTGTTTTTTTTGTTTGACCATTTCTTGATTTATGCGTGTCATCCTTGTTCAGAGGCCATGCTAATCTTCTTCCTCTGTATCATTCCAATCTTAACGGATGTCCCGAAGGATTCACGCCACCACCTAATGCCCAAGAAATGAAATTCTTCAACAGACCAATTTCCACCCAAACCTGCTGAGTGCCGGCTTCACAGAAAACGGCAAGCCGAATTAATCCCCCCCCCCGAAAGAACACATTCCTCTCCACTACAAAACACCACAATTAAAGCCAACCAAGGCACAGTTAAAGCCAACAATGGTCAGTGCTCAATCACCAAAAAGGCTACCACATCCCTGAAATACAGCTTTCGCAGACAAGGTTGCGTTTCAGCTGCTACCATGAAAAGCATAGCGGAGCACAAAGAGAGCAGAGTGCAGTGTGAGTCACACATGGTGGAGGAGTGAAACATGCAGCAGAGCTCCAAGGGATGAGGTGAAAGACGGGAGGGAGGACGGAGGACGTGAGGCACAGACAAAGAAGCAGAGGGGGGAAAACATAGATAAGAGGGCTTAGAGTGGACAACTTGTAGGTGGGTGTGTGCGTAACCGTGTGTGTGTGTGTGTGTGTGTGTGTGTGTGTGTGTGTGTGTGTGTGTGTGTTGGAGGGGGGGGGGAGGGTTGTTCAGAGAAGAGGGAGCAGAGAGGGGAAAGTAGAGAGAGGAGAAAGTGAGGGAAGACGCTTTCGCAGGACTTTCGGGGATGAATGACCTCTAACATTATGGCCAGACTCGAGCAAAGAAATAAGCTGTGAATATGGTGTAGGAGTAGGCAAAGGGAAAGCGAGGGAAAAGAGGGTTGGGGGGGGGTGGGGGGCGGGTGTCCGCGGGAGGGCACATGTTTGTATGCCCAAAGACGACTTACGAGTTGAAGAAGCCAGGGTTGCTCAGAACACATGAGGCATGATACCATAGCTGCACATACGCAGATTGGAAACCGTGTTAAAGACAACAATGACCCAAACTGTTTGAACTTATGGTCCCTCTCTCTCTCTCTCTCTCTCTCTCTCTCTCTCTCTCTCTCTCTCTCTCTCTCTCTCTCTCTCTATCTATCTATCTATCTATCTATCTATCTCTCTCTCTATCTATCTATCTATCTATCTATCTATCTATCTTGTGCACGTGTCAGCTTATTGCTTTCTCTTTCTCCCACCCAAACACACACACACACACAGATGCAGGTGCGGACAAGGAGTGCACGAGCACACACATGCACACAACACGCACACAGACAAGCACGCACACAACACACACACACCAACACACACACACACACACACACACACACACACACACACACACACACACACACACACACACACACACACACACGCACACCGGTATGCTGCTTCCTCCTCACTTTCTTCCCATTGCTATACACACGTCACGTCCCTCTATTCGGGCTTTTTTTTCTCTTTGCTTTTGAACTGCTCTGCACCGACTTTTACAGTCCTCTCACAACTTAACAAAAAATTAGTAATTAGTGCTCTTTCACATCTTCACAAGAGCCAATGCGATGCTACTTTGCTATTCGGTTATCCCCAAATTATCCGTAAAAATGAATTTTGGCAGTTTCATAAGAACCAAAACTCGGTTCAGAGGGACCAAAAAAACAACATGATAAAGATCTCACTCAGGAAGGGGGGTGAAGAAGAAGAAGAATAGGGCATCGCCACACCACTCTCAAACTGAGCACAAAATGAGAATGAACTTCCCGGTAGAACATGGCCAGATGCACCCGCCACATTTGTCTTTTTCACATTTCGAGAGTGGTGTGGCCACGCCCATAGTGTCAAACAGTGGCCAAACTATGCAATCCGAATCCGCACGTACAATACTCAGCAACGCGCACATTCTTTTTTTCCTCAACGCAGCGCAAGCGTTTCAACCGCTTGCGCTGTGGAGCCACATTCTCAGGAGGCTTTCCACACGCCCGCCTTTCGGCTTCCACCTCGTGGTAAAAAACACATCAATTCTAATCCCCTACCCTCTTCACCCAAAATAGACGGCTCGGTCAGTATCGCGCACATTCCTCGATGCAGCATTTCACTGCGGTCATCCTCAGGAGGCTTTCCACACGCCCGCCTTTCAACACATCAATTCTGATCCCCTACCTCTTCACTGGAAATAGACCGCTCGGTCAGCACCGCGCACATTCCGCGACGCCACGTTTCGACCGCTTGCGCTGCGGTCATCCTCAGGAGGCTTTCCACACGCCCACCTTTCGGCTTCCACCTCGTGGTAAAAAACACCGCAATTCTAATCCCCTACCCTCCTCCCCCGAAATAGACCGCCCGTTCATGACCCCGCTGCATCTAGACTGAAAGTTGCAGCAAATACAGCTATAATGACCGGGCGTTCTATTCAGGTGAAGACAGTGGGGGGTTTGGTGGCTTTCTTCGGGCCTAAGTGGACAAACTATCCGTGTGCCGTGTGTGGGTGCGTGTCCATCATACACGTTCTGCTGGAACACGTCATAAACCCTACTCTCTCCACAACTTACACACTCTTCCTCTTCCTTCAAATTATTGCTTTCCATTAATTAATTTCAAAACCTTCTGCCTCGTTAAGAAAGATCGTCTGTATCTAGTCCTAATCCCAGATCTATTCGGCCTGTCCATCGCTGACGTGCCTTTGTGTTTTTTTTCTTTTTTCTTCCAAGCAGATAACGAACTACTGGCAGGATCCTTTCCTTCCACTGACTCTTTTTCTTTTTCTTTTTCTTTTATGAGGGCAACGGGCTTGAGATATCATCGTTTTTTTTTTTTTTTTAACGTACCAGCCCTACCTTCTTCCCCCGAATACAACGTATTCGGTCATTATAGCTGTGTATTTGAGGCATCTTTCAGTCTAGATACAGCTATACTGACCGTACGTTGTATTCGGGGGAAGAAAGTAGGCAATTTAATTCAGAATTGCAGTGTCTTTCTCATCATTTGCTTCCACTGGAGTTGGAACTCTGTTTTTTTTTTAATTAATCTAGAACCATCATCTGGATTCGAACTCTGGTCTGCATTTCAACAGTTATGGGTGTGTACCGACTGAGCTAGGCCACAGTTGGTTCCACTGACTTTTCTCTTTCCTCCTGCTTATCCCCTTCCCCTTCCCCTCCTCCCCCCTCCCCCCCCCCTTCCCCCCCTTCCCCTCCTCTTCTCATTTCGCACTCAATCGTTCATGTCCATCCGGAGACTGACTA